TTTTTTTAAGTTCACTGTCCTTTTTGGAACTTACAGTACTGCACAGGAGGAAAACATCTCCCAGATCCTAGGGTATTAGCCCCTTACTTAATATTGTTGGAATGAATGAGTAGAAAAAGGAAGGAATGCTGTTGGATGAGTAACACCACACAGTTTGGAGAAGAGCTTAATGGTAGTCCTATAAGCTTGCGTAAGGAGCAATGGATATGATGATTCACAAAACTTTTCCTTTGCATTTCATCTAATGAGAGGAAGGCATTGGAACAGAATACCAAAGCATTTGGCTAGAAAGATACTCAAAATCTCACATTTTATCTTGAAACTTCACATCAAATTTGTGTTCTACTCTATGACATATTGTTCTCTTCCATATAAATGGCATCTTTCTAGGATTGAGGTAAAGTGATACTCCAACAAAATGTACCGTATTTATCAGGTGGCTCAAGTTCCTCCTGGCATACTTTCAGAGAGGTGTATACTACAGTTTGGGAAACACGCAATTTAGATAAACGTTCAATGAGCTCTCACTGCCTGCTTCCATCTGTCTGTCCTACACACTTGCCTCACAACTCTTCCCTCCCAACTTCTGCTAAAATCCCAACCCCTCTGGTCTCCTCAATCATAGTTATGTTTTCCTAACTAATCTAAATTTTAGATTGAAATACCACTATGCAAAAAATATTTAGGAAAAATAACTGCAAAACTTTTCCAATAATATTTGAGATCACTAAGTCTCAGGGGACACCCTTCATTCATACACATTGTGCTGGTTTCTTGGTCTGTTTCATCCCTGTCATCTATGTTAGCAGACTCTTGGAGGGATTTGGCTTGTTTTATTTAAATCTTGAAAAATGCCCAAACTAATGCTGTGGTCAATTAAAGTAGCTGGAGGTTTGAGCACTCAGTTTAGTGTTCCCCTCTGTGTTTGAAGGAGTCTGTAAATGGAACATATGTTTTGAATTGCTTCTCCAGAGCTCTGATCTGTCCACCTCTTCCCCATCTCCATTGCCTGGGCTGTGGGTTAGGTCCTTATCTTCCATTGCTTAGATTATGTCGCTGACTCCCTTGATGGATCTTGTTTTTCCACTCCACCCCCAATGAGTCTGCAAGAGTAGTTTTCCTAACACAGGGATCAGCCCATGCCACTCCCCTCCTTAAGATTTAGATGGCAACGATCCATAACTATACGCAACAACATCATGTTTCACTTATATGCATGCCTGAAAGAAGTCAGAAACAAAAAAGTATGCACATTAAATAAAGCGCAAAACCCAGCAAAACCAATCAATGATGTTAGAAGTCAAGATGGTGGTTAAATTTGGAAAGGGTGGGGGAGTAGTAGTGATTGGGAGGAAGCATAAATGAGCTTCTGATAGGTTGTTAATGTCCTATTTCTTAATCTGGGTGCTAAGAAAATAAATGTGTTCCATTTGTGAAAATCCATCCAGCTTGTTTGAAGCAATCTTTTCTGTCTATTCCTTCAATAAAACATTAAAACAAAGGAATAAACAAACAACACTTGTTGCTTCACCTTAGCACAATACATAGTCACTCATGTGACTCTCACTTGTCCTTCCATCAGTCATTGGCCCTGTGAACTAGTCACACCACACAGCTCAATGTTCTCCAAACATGGCACACTT